TTCAGTGGTTAGCCCATGATATCTAAATTCTACCTCCCTGGTTTTCAATGGCTCTCCAAATCCTCAGGATGGTCGGGGGTGGGCGCCTTGCGCTGCGGGTTGGCCACCCATCCGGACACCTCTTGAAATGCTCCCATATGATCGGGCGTCTTACATAGCCTCTCCTGAGGAAGTCCTACTCACTGCCTTCACGTGGCGGAGGTGTTTTTTTCACCAAAGTGAGAGGGCGAAAGCGGTTGCCTGGCGCTCTTCACTGGGTTGACTGTCCATTGGATGACAGTCTAGGGGAGATGGCTAAACCCTGATTCCAAACCTCCAACGACTGGCGTATGAAGCTCACTGGAGCTCACCGGCAGACGTATGGACAAAGGGCTTGTTGGATGTCCTGGATGTCTGGCCCCATTCAAAAAGGCGTATGAACCGAACTCCGGTCACCGGCTGCCAATGGATAGTGGACTCTATACTCCACTCCTACTGCCTTGTAGGTCACACTTGGTTGTGTAAAAGCTAGAGCTGCACTCTCAAACAAAAGGCCGAGCGATTCTGGGGACATCACTCGTACCAAATTCCCATGAAACTTCATGAACTCTTACAAACGTTCGAGATGTTCATGAAGCCGGCTCATCCTTCCGTAGGAGATAGCCGAAGTAAGTAAGTAGTCTTACTGATATTAATCCACAATCAACTCGTGAAAACAGGACTAATCCTTACAAACCAACTATAGAAAATTAAAACAAGCAATGAAGGTTAATAAAGCGGGATTTCATGAATTCATCAAGTTTCGGTAGAACTCGTCAGCTGAATACTCTACATACACGGATATATACTTTTGAAATTACATTGGGAGATATAGGACTGATAAGTAAACAAACTACATTGAATTAGTCATGCAGAGAGACAGGTGCGAATGTTTTTCCAGGTCATGTTAAAATATATAAGGGGAGAGAGAGTATGGGAGATCAAAATTAAGATAAATTGCACTACGCTTCAACTACATCACTTAGATCAACAGTTAGACATTAGAGAATTTAACAAGAATTGCAACCAGAGGGATGTCAATAGTAATAGTTATAATAACAATAATAATAATAGTGTTGAAGTGAGTTAAGATAATGCTACTGATAAAGGATAATTTTAAATGAATCAAGAATAATAATAATGAGAATAATAATAGTAATAATAAAAATAATAATAATAAGAGGTAGCAAGATAGAAAATTAATCTGATGTTCACTAGTGACCTGCTACAGGATACAGTCTCCTGGAATTCTAGTGAGAAGTCGTGATTAGTGAGGTCCAACCAATCAAGTGTGAGGATGGATTTCCCACCGACGACATTGGTTGGTGGTCGCGCTAAATCACGAATTCGTAGAAGTTAGAATTCGTGGGCTGGTCATTGGATCGGGTCCCAGTGGCTGAATGGTACACGAGCTTGCCATGTAACCAGAAATTCCTGAGTTCGAACCCTGGCGGTGAGTGCGTACTGCTGATGATACCCAAACTAGGCTGATGAAACAGCTGTCCAGTACCCCTAGCTGGTTTTAAATGGTTCTCTAACTGGTATCAATCCGTGATCATCTCGTAAAAACAGATTTAATTAATCTCTAAAATATGTTATTGATTACTTTTTTCTTCCTCCCAGTATTCAAGTTGTCAGTGGTCTTAATCAGTTGATCCTAAGAGTATCAGTTTATAGTTATTCAAGTATTGTATTTTTAAGCGTTTTATCTGGTTCACGTCCTTGAGACTACGGTTGAGTAAACTAGTAAGAGAACTGTCACAGATTTTCTTTTAAAACATATTCAATACTCCGATGCCAACATGACAAAGGAGACGTCTTTAGAGGTTGTGAAGTTAAGTAGCATACAACCATTTCATTGGCTAACACAAAGATAAATAACATCAGTATAAGTGGTGTTTTTTTTAATATTCAGTTAAATTATTATTATTCCCCAAGGTTTCGAGTGAGACATACGGTTTCAGCATTATATACCAATGTCACCCTATTTTTTGAGGTCCAATTTAGCTGGTTACACGATTCCCCGTAGTCTCTAATCTCCTTCATATCACCCTCGAACGCACCACTCGTCGTTCCACATTTGCGTGCCACTCGAGCGATGGCTTGGTGCGGGATTTCATTCGACGATGTTTTCAAAGTGTATCCGATCCATCTCCAATTTCTTCGTATGTTTGTTGGTCTATACGTTCTTTTTTTCCTTCACGTTCCCAGTGGAACATAGGGCTTCAAGCCTCCAACCTGAAGTTTCTGTAGCAGTGTCAATTTTTACAGGATGGGGTTGCTAGCATCATCCCCCCAACCTTTCCTCTTTACCAGCTTTATTACTGGCTTAGCAAGGTAAAGGAGTGCGCCGGCCGGGGATCGAACCCCAGACCATGTGCATGCCTAGCGAGCGTCCTAACCGCTGTACCGCATTCTTAATTGGTTCATTTTTAGAGTTTCTTGTTGGTGATCCTTCCTGGCTAGCCATCTGATTTTCAATATGGTGCGAAGACATAGGGCTTCAAAGTTTCAGTAGCAGTGGTGAATTTTACAAGATCGGGTTGCTAGCTCCATGTCCAACTTTTCCTGGGAATCGAACCGCCGACCGAGTGCATGGTTAGCGAGCATTCTACCGCTGAACCACCAACGCACTGATCCACCGACGAGGATACGGACCATTGACCAAAAGACACCTGTCGAAAAAAGTCTGCAGTAGCCTGTTTGAACTGCTTTTCGTGATACGCCAAGTCTCTAAACCATATACAAGTACTAATTTGACTTTAGTGTTGATAGTTCGAATTTTTATGCTTCATTCAGTAGATTTCCTCACTGATTTCACATTTATGAAGGTGTCTATCTTGCCTTCTCTGGCATAAAAGTCTATAAATTTCATTTACGGAATATACACATTGGATAATAGGAATTATTAAAAAGACAATTGCAGCGAAGAAAATTTTCTTTTCGACGAAGTCATCATCTAGGCTGTACATTCGTGTATTTATATCAAATGGATGGGAAAGTTCCAGAATAATTTCCGAATAAGGGTCAAATTAATAAAAATTACAATTAGGAATTAGTATGCCATAATAAACAGGGGGAAGGATAAAACTCAAACAAAGTAGCATTATAATAACTAAGAAGATTGACATTGTGCAGTCAGGGGTTAGAAATGTAGAAATAGTAAAATAACAAAATTAACAGGAAGTGAAGATATGAAAATATGGTAGTGTAGACAGGGATTAAGAAAAACTTAAAATAACATGAATAAACAGGAAGTTTAGATAAGAAAGGTGATGAGATTGTCATTACTAAAAAATTTTACCTGTTTACGATGGCCATGGCAGCGATAAGGGTTGGACGTATTTCTTTTGGATACAAAGAGTGGGTTTGAGTTTTTGGATAGCTAGTGCCTCAGCTATGCCCAGATTTCTTGATTTGACTCCCTTTGATGGGTTTGATTGAATCTTGTATATTACTTTGAAGGATTTTTCGAAAGGCGCTGAATGTCCTGAGTTGATCAGATGTTCTGTCACTGAACTGTTTACACGTTTTTGGTCTCCTTTTACTAGCCAGGCTGGGTAGTGTTCACGAGCGCGTTTTTCAAGTCGACGCATGGTACGGCCGATGTACTCAGCTCCACAAGAGTATACTAATTCCTAATTGTAATTTTTATTAATTTGACCCTTAACCGGAAATTATTCTGGATCTTTCCCATCCATTTGATATAAATACACGAATGTACAGCCTAGATGATGACTTCGTCGAAAAGAAAATTTTCTTAGCTGCAATTGTCTTTTTAAATTTCATTTAGCTACTCATCCTATTTATCTTTTCTCGTCAACTTGTCATTCTAGTGTGTATATTCAGCGACTGGTATACAGTAACTACTAACAAAATTGGATTTTTTTTTGTTTGTTCACACATTGAGATTGTTTAAATTTCACAGCTTAGTTTTATAAAGTCACCTGTTGAAGCGAATCATTTCATTAGCGATCAAATAATCAAACTTCTCTAAGAAATCAATAAAGTAATGTTGATATCTGATGATTACATTTAGCCGCTATATATATATATATATATATATATATATATATATATATATATATATATATATATATATATATATATATATATATATATATATAGAAGAAAAATGCGTTATGATGTTTTTTCGTCATGTAGAAATTCATCAATAAGAAACTATTTGCAAGTAAAAGTCTAACATCTTATTCTGATCATAGAATGTTTGATTATTTGAACAGATATATTTTAAGTCAAGTGAATGAAATGAACTACTGTTTGATTAATTTGAAAAGTCAATATTCTATGAATCTATCATATGAAGGTGATCAGAAGAAAAAATAAACTTTCCTTATTTGATTGGTTGAAGGATTTCATCATGAGCTGACATCGGTTAGAGAAGCATTGGAAAGCCAGCTGGGAGTACTGCCAGACAGCTGTTTCGTCAGACTAGTTTGGTACTCTGGTTCAGCAGTACGCACCCACCACCACGGTTCGAACCCAGGACCTTCTGGTTACAAGGCCAGCAAGCTCGTAGACCATTAAGCCACTCACTGAGACCCAATCCAATGGCCAACCAGCCCATGAATTCTAAATTCTGCCAACTGATGGCATAGCGCGACCACTTCTCAATGTTTTGATTAAGGGACACTGTAAACATCCTCCTTAAAAGACTGAATACACTGATTACGACCGCTTAAAATGGAAATACCTTAAGTTGCAAGACAAAATACCACTATATTGTGATGTCGATTGATAGGAAGTGGCTAAAATCTCAATCAACGTTTTAAGTCAATGGCGGGTCTACGTTGTAGAGATAAGATAACCTCATTGGACAACTTGTTTAACCTTGGGTCAGTTTCCAACCAATCAAAACACAGCTTATCCGCCTCTAACCTAGCCGAACTTTAATATGGCGAAGAATGTAAAAGCATGATGTTTTTCCTTAATAAAGTTTTGTTACCTAATTTCTTATCTCCTCATGTTACACCAGAAATATGACATCCAATAATTTTAGTCTTTTTTGATATCCTTAACGGGAACTTCATTCCATATTCTCCAGAAGTATGTAGCTTAATTGCATCCATCCCCTATAGAGGATATCAAAAATCAAGTTATGTTGATTACTGTCGCGTACAACATGCTGTATCATCACTAAGCAATACATAAAATACTAGGTTGAGTAAAATTCGTGGATTTGTGTACTATTACAATCTTCTAGTTGAGCGTCGGTGGTTCAATCATAAAATGCTTGCCAACCACACACGTGGTCCGGTTTCGATTCCCGATCGACGTACACTTAAACCTCATGATAGTAAGCCTGAGGAAGAGGGAAGGTTGGGAGCGGGGCTAACATCTCCACTCCGTAAAGACAAAAAACACCACCACTACTGAAACCTCAAAACTTGAAGCTCTACGTTCCACTTCGAAAGCGCAAAGCTCACACTTCCCGAAAATTATTCGACAGGATTAGCGAAAGGAGAACGTGGGACAATTACCTGATTAATACTCAAGCATCTGGTGAACTCAGACTATGCAGCACCACAGGAGTCATCTTTTAAGATTGTCTACAAGGTCACACTGAATAATACAAATGATGTTAGGTCTCAATATTTGTGTATGGCAGAGGCACTGGCGATTCGTCAATATAACTCCATGATCTTCTTTATTCGCTCAATATTTTTAATAATTAATTCACTATCAACACTACTTCATGCCATTTTGTACATTTTCTCACCCACTCCACACTTGTCAATTGAACACTTATTCAGTAACAGGTTTAAATCTTATTAAATTTCGAACACTTTCTTCCAATGTGCCAGTGACAACTATGTTACCCTTTGATACCCAATAATAGACTGACATTTACCCTTTTTAGCAAATATAAATACTTTTTTTTCTATAGTTTGGTTTGTAAGGATTAGTTATGTTTTACGAGTTGATCACGGATTGATATCAGTTAGAGAACCATTGAAAACCAGGGAGTACTGGACAGCTGCTGTTTCATCCTAGTTTGGGAATCATCGGAAGTACGAACCCACTGGGACTCGAACCCAGGACCTTCCGGTTACAAGGCAAGCTCGTATACCATTCAGCTACTGGGACCCGATTCAATGGCCAGTCCATGAATTCTAAATTCTACCAATTCGTGATTTAGCGCGACCCCAACCATTGTCGTTGGTGGGACATCCATCCACACACGTGACTTCTAATTGCACCTCACTGGTCACGACTTCTCACTAGAACTCCAGGAAGCTCCAACCTGTAGCAAGTCACTAGCAAGCATCAGATTAATTTTCTATAGTTTGGTTTGTAAGGATTAGTCCGTGATCAACTAGTAAAACATAACTAATCCTTACAAACCAAACTATAGAAAATTAATCTGATGCTTGCTAGTGACTTGCTACAGGTTGGAGCTTCCTGGAGTTCTAGTGAGAAGTCGTGACCAGTGAGGTCCAATTAGATGTCACGTGTATGGATGGATGTCCCACCAACGACAATGGTTGGGGTCGCGCTAAATCACGAATTGGTAGAAGTTAGAATTCATGGACTGGCCATTGAATCGGGTCCCAGTAGCTGAATGGTATACGAGCTTGCCTTGTAACCGGAAGGTCCTGGGTTCGAGTCCCAGTGGGTTCGTACTTCCGATGATTCCTAAACTAGGATGAAACAGCAGCTGTCCAGTACTCCCTGGTTTTCAATGGTTCTCTAACTGATATCAATCCGTGATCAACTCGTAAAAAATATAAATACGATTGTACAGTCTCTGCAGACGATCTCGTCGATAAAGAAAATTATCTTCGCTAAATTGTCTTTTATTTCCTGCATGATTCAATGGGTATTTTCGGCCTTTAATAAGAAGATATTCTTCTAGTGATATTTAAGTCAAACGATCTAACTGAAATTTTTTTGAAAAAAGCAAGTCCTGTGTACTTGTAACGGCAGAAGATAAGGGAATTGCTAACGAACTTTTCTGCTAAGGAAAACCGCATCATAGTTATGTACTTTTTAACAACAAGAAAAGTCCGTTAGGTCAGTGAACCATCAACTGTTCTGATTGGTTGGCGATCGACCCAAGCCTAACCAATCAGATTACCTCCCAAGCACAACGTTAACTAGACCCAGATTTGAGGAATAAACACAGAAGGGTACATGATATGAAGGGAAATTATACAGTCTCACACACTGGATGAATTAGAGTGGTTTTGACAGCTAATCACTAAGTATAGTTTATTATTATTGAAAAGACCCTATTTTGCCGACCGTTTCCTATAGAGGCATAATACTGAGAGCAAGACGTAATTCATTCCTCAGTGTAAAAGAAAATAAAACCTCATAAATATAATATGCTCAAACCTAATAATGATTCCACGTGAACGTCTATTATATCTCTAAATCTCCTAAATTAATTATATGCAGAAAATGAATGGTCCGAATACGCATAATTTACAGTGAATTTCTAAATATACTTTCGTATAAGAACCTCGCCTAGATTACTGGGTCACTAGTATTCTAGCCGGTCCCAAGCCCGGATAAAGAGGGAGGGTTGGGGCGTGGTGCTAGCAACTCCACCCCCAAAACTTAACCAAATTGCTACTAAAACTTCAACGCACAAATATATTCAAAATTCTAAAATTACAAATAGTGACCTTATTTTTCGCTGGAATCGGGGAAGTGAAATGACGCGGGCTGGTGAAAGCCTTCGGGAAGCCAGTCAGCCGATGTGCCTTCTTTCGATGAAAGCAAAAATAAGGATGGGGACGTGGAATATTCGTACAATGTACGAAACTGGAAAGGCTGCTCAGGTAGCCGCAGAAATGAGGAGATATAGAATAGAAGTGTTGGGAATCTGCGAGAGCAGATGGAACGGATGTGGAAGGAGCCAACTATCAACTGGAGAGACAATAATCTACTCCGGTCACCCAGAGGACAATCACGAGCACACCGAGGGAGTAGCCATCATGATGTCACCAACAGCGGCTAAAGCTCTCATGCAGTGGGAACCAATCTCCTCCAGGATAATGACAGCCAGGTTCAACTCAAAAGGAAAAAAGGTTACAATCATTCAGTGCTACGCGCCTACAAACGCCTCAGAACATGAGAAGAAGGAGGATTTCTACAGTCAACTACAAACAGTAATGGACAACGTCCCAAAGAGCGATATCAAAATCCTGATGGGCGACATGAATGCGAAACTGGGAGGAGACAACACAGGAAGAGAACTCACCATGGGTCGTGAGGCCCTCGGTGAAATGAACGAAAATGGTGAACTCTTCTCAGACTTCTGCGCCTTCAATGATTTGGTGATTGGTGGCAGTGTGTTCAAACACAGGGATATACACAAGGCAACATGGATTTCACCAGATGGACACACCAAAAACCAGATAGACTTCATTTCAATCTCAAGGAAGTGGAGACGGAGCCTACTGGACACAAGATCGAGGAGAGGAGCAGATGTGGGTTCAGACCACTATCTGGTACAAGGGACTTTCAAGGTGAAGCTGAAAGCCTCGAGGATACCTGGAGATAGGCCACAATGCAAGTTCAACACTCACAAACTGAAGGACACAATCACACAGGACATTTTCACTGCAACTGTCAGAGCAAAGCAGGAAACACTACGTGGCACCACTGAGGAATCATCCGTGGAAGACCATTGGAACTCTCTGAAGGTAATTTTCAACGAAACGTGCTCAACGGTTTTAGGAAGAAAGAAGAAACAAGACAAGGAATGGCTCTCAACAGACACTTGGAAACTAATAGAGGAGAGGAGAAAAGTGAAAGAGAAAATGATTCAATGCAAAGATGGACAAGAGAAAGAGACGCTGAACTCAACTTACACAGCACTGGACAAAGAAGTGAAGAAGAGTGCCAGGAAGGACAAAAGACAATTCTACGACAACCTGGCTACTGAAGCTGAGAAGGCAGCAGGCAAAAGGGACCTGAGGACACTATATCAGATAACCAAGTCTCTATCCGGGAAGAGATCAACACAAGTGAAACCTATAAAAGACAGCCAAGGGAACCCAATTACCAAAGAAGAAAGACAGATTAAACAATGGGCGGACCACTTCAAAGGACTCTTGAATCGACCACCACCTACAACCCGTCCAGTAATACCAACAACAGCACGTACACAACTGCAAGTTGACACCAATCCTCCAACGAAAACTGAAGTCATGAATGCAATCAAGCTTCTGAAAGCTGGAAAAGCAGCTGGACCAGATGGAATACCCCCGGAAGCACTGAAAGCGGACCCAGAAACGACGGCAGATATGCTGACTCCATTATTGCAAAAGATCTGGAAAGAGGGAAAGGTGCCTACTGACTGGAGGAAAGGTTACCTGGTGAAACTACCAAAGAAGGGCGACCTGGGACTCTGCAAGAACTGGCGAGGAATCATGCTCCTGTCGACGCCAAGTAAAATCCTGAGTCGCATCATCCTGGAGAGAATCAAGGACGCGCTGGATACAGAACTCCGACCAGAACAAGCTGGATTCAGGAAAGGCAAATCATGTTCTGACCAAATTGCAACTCTACGCATTATCATCGAACAAAGCATGGAATGGCAATCAAATCTCTACCTCAACTTCATAGACTTTGAGAAGGCCTTCGACAGCGTTGACCGCGAAGTAATTTGGAAACTACTCGAGTACTACGGCGTACCCCAAATATTCATCAACCTTATTCAACAACTGTACGACAACGGCACATGTCAAGTGATCCACAACGGAAAACTCAGCGAAGCGTTTGGAGTAAACACAGGAGTCAGACAAGGGTGCTTATTATCACCAATGATATTCCTAATTGTGGTGGACTGGATTATGCGTCAGACAGTAGGAAACGAGAAGACAGGGATATCCTGGACCGACGTGAAGAATCTAGAAGACCTGGATTTTGCGGATGATTTATGTTTGATGTCACACAAAATCGAAGACTTACAAGCAAAAACCGACAAACTGGTCGAAGAAGCAGCAAAGACAGGACTCCAGGTGAACATAGACAAGACGGAGGTTATGAAAATAACCAACCAACAACAGCAGCAACATCCAGTGCCAATCACCATCAACGGGAGGGATTTGAAAGAGGTTACTTCTTTCACTTATCTGGGGAGCATTGTCTCAACCACAGGAGGAACGGACGAGGATGTCAAATCGAGAATCGGGAAAGCGAGAAACACATTCATCAACCTGAAACCAATCTGGAAATCTTCGTCACTCACCATCAACAACAAAATTCGGATTTTCAATACAAACGTGAAGTCAATTTTGCTTTACGGATCAGAAACTTGGCGGGTCACCAAGAATATTTTCAACAGGTTGCAGACCTTTATCAACAACTGTCTTCGCTCCATACTGAAGATTAGATGGCCAGAAAGAATCACAAACAAGAAGCTATGGGAACAAACGAAACAGGAACCAATCGCCCAACAAATATGCAGGAGGAAGTGGAGATGGATTGGACACTCGCTGAGGAGGCCGTTGAGTGACATCGCGCGTCAAGCCCTCGAGTGGAACCCGAAAGGGAAGCGGCGAGTGGGACGTCCAAGGGTGACATGGAGGAGATCGTGTGAGGAGGAGATGAAACAGTATGGAATAACATGGACGCAAGTGAAAAGTACAGCAGAAGACAGAAGCAAGTGGAGACGTGCAGTTGAAGCCCTATGTTCCACTAGGAACCCAAGGGAACAATAATAATAATAATACTTTCGTATAAGACATATGACAGTGACGGCACAATAT